TTATTATTCTTGGAATATTTTGTTGTTAAAATTGGTATTGAGGTATAAAGGCCGTGATTCACATTGAGGCAAAGTGTTAAGTTGTGAAATACTATTCTTGTTGAGTTATTCACTTTCAGGTATTGTTGAGACTCTTGTGTACATTGTGGTTGAGTTATGGACTATTTATTGTGAGAACACCGTTCTTGTTGATTGTTTTGGCAAGTTGTGATATTGGGCACTTGAGGAGCGATTTGTGATACGTTGTGATATTGATACACATGCGGTGGTATAAGGTTTTAGGGTTGAAACGTATGCGGTGAGATAAGGTGGGCTTGATACGCGTGGCGTGTAAGGGAACTACTAAAAGCCACACAGTGTGATGATGTGGGCTAAAACGCGAGATGCTATTCCGGGAAAATGATTTTCAAAACTAATGCAAGGCTCTCGCGGTGATATAAGGAAAGATTGTGAATTATTCTTGTGATTTGAGACTACGAGGCGGTAACTCGGTAGTGACTCTTGTTGGTATTTCTCTATTGCTGCACTTGTCTTTGGTTGTTTTGTTTCCTCAGCAGATCATTCCTTGTTTTCGCCCTATTGCATTATTTTCTTTAGTTCCGTGTAGCTAACCTTGATATGTTATTTGTTGTTTCAATTTCATTGCTATCATTACTACACTGCCATACACTTGTACAGTTTTTCCTATTTATTCCAGTAGGGTCTTGACCTGAACTCGTCACTACTTTACCGAAGTTAGTCTTGGCACTTACTGATACCTTTGTGGTGTACTCATGTTACGCATTTGGATATCTTTTTGAGGAGATCTAGGCATCTCCTACCAGCCCAGGTACTAGCGAGAGTTCAGCTTTGGAGACTTCACGGTATACATGCCGGCATCCGCAGGCCTCGGAGTCCCCCTCTACCTAGACTATTCTATTTTCTTTATCCTTTTATAGACATTGATGTATAGGATTATTCAGTAATACTATTTAGAGATTGTGACTTGTATTAGCTGGGTTTTGAAAAATTGTATTTACCGAGTGCAGAGTTTCTTTATATTAAATTGTTGAGTATTTGAGAGTTATTTGTCATTTCAGTTATATTTCGCATGTTGTTAGGCTTACCTAGTCTTAGAAATTAGGTGCTATCACGACATCGTACGGAGGAAAATTGGGGTCTGACACCCATGATCTTTCTCGACAAAATTATATCTCTATTACATAAAAAATGACATTAACATTCATTTATGTTGTCATTTTAACTGGTAATGCAGTTTTTTCTGCAAAAAATCTAAATCTCCGCCTAAACAAATACAAGACAGTTAATTAGTTATATAGCAACAAAAGGGGTTGGTTTAGAAGCTCCAAACCTACGACAAGGTGCACAATTGTTCCATTTTTTTGTTGACTTCAATCCTTTGTACAAGAAGGAGAACTTTTATTTTTTTTTGAAAATGTTTTAACTATAAAAAGAGTGAATTATATAGTATCTTTGTGCTAATTTCGAAAAAATAGATTGATGGCCGAATTTACGCAAAAAATGAGATGCATAGCGATATTATTTTAGGAGAGAGTATTATTTTGGACGACTCAAAAGTTTCTAAAGAGCTTAAAGACTCATTGTTGGCCTCAAAAGTAAAAATAATGTTGCATAAAATTTTCTCTCTCTCTCTCTCTCTCTATATATATATATATATATATTACAAGTGTAATCTCTGCATAAATATTCAATGTTCGATTTCAGATATAAAACTCTGCATAATTAATGCAACATCTGTATTCTGTTAAACCGCACCAAACCGAAAAGTCAAACCAAACCGATTAAAAAGCCCGATTAGGTTTGGTATTGAGGAAAAAATCCGAACCAAACCGATATATAAATATATAATTTTTATATATACTTTTAAGGAGGTCGTGGGAGCTATGCGTAAGATGAGTAGGGGCAGAGCGACCGGGTCAGACGAGATTCCGGTGGAATTTTGAAAGTGTGTGGGGAGAACCAGTTTAGAGTGATTGACTAGGTTGTTTAATGTTATTTTTAAGGCGAAGAGGATGTCGGATGAGTGGAGGTGGAGTACGGTAGTTCCATTGTATAAGAACAAAGGTGATATCCAGAGTTGTAACAATTATATGGGTATTAAATTACTGAGTCATACCATGAAAGTGTGGCAGAGGGTGGTGGAAGCGAGGGTGAGGATGACAGTATCTGTATCTGACAACCAGTTCGGGTTCATGCCGGGTCGTTCGACTACAGAAGTTATACACCTTGTTAAAAGGTTGGTGGAACTGTACAGAGAGAGGAAGAAGGATCTGCACATGGTGTTTATTGACATAGAGAAAGTGTATGACAAAGTTCCTAGAGAAGTTCTCTGGAGATGCCTGGAGGCAAAAGGTGTGTCGGTTCCCTACATTATGGCGATTAAGGACATGTATGATGGGGCTAAGACTCGGATTAGGACAGTAGGAGGTGACTCTGAGAATTTTCCTATTGTAATGGGGTTACACCAAGGTTATGCGCTCAGTCCGTTCTTATTCGCCCTGGTGATGGACACGTTAACACACCATATTCAAGGGGATGTGCCATGGAGCATGCTATTCACCGATGACATAGTTCTGATTGATGAGTCATGAGCCGGTGTTAACGAGAGGCTGGAGGTGTGGAGACAGGCTCTTGATTCTAAGGGTTTCAAGCTGAGCAGGACGAAGACGGAATACCTAGAGTGTAAGTTCAGCGCTGAGCCATGGGAAGTGGGCGTGAATGTGAGGCTTGATTCGCAGGTCATCCCGAGTAAAGACAGCTTCAAGTACCTTGGTTTGGTTATCCAGGGGGGAGGGGAGATCGGCGAGGATGTCACACACCGTATTGGGGTATGATGGATGAAGTGGAGGTTAGCATCTGCAGTCCTGTGTGACAAGAGAGTATCACCGATACTCAAAGGTAAGTTCTATAAAGCGGTGGTTAGACCGGCCATGATGTATGGGGCTGAGTGTTGGCCCGTTAAAAACTCACATATCCAGGAGATTAAAGTAGCAGAAATGAGGATGTTGCGGTGGATGTGCGCGCACACTAGGATAGATAATATTAGGAATTATGATATTCGGGAGAAGGTGCACGTTGCTCCCGTTGATGACAAAATGCGAAAAACGAGGCTTAGATGGTTCGGACATATTCAGAGGAGAAGCCCAGATGCTCTGGTATGGAGGTGTGAATGGTTGGTTGTGGAGGGCACGAGAAGAGGTAGAGGGTGACCTAAGAATTATTAGGGAGAGGTGATCAGGCAGGATATGGCGAGGCTCCAGATTTCCAAGGACATGACACTTGATAGGAAGATGTGGAGGTCGAGTATTAGGATTGTAGGTTAGGAGGTAGTTGAGTTGTGCCTTACTTCATACCATTGTGGGACTAGCCATGTAGGGTTTTTGTCTAAGATAGCTAGTGGCAATGTTGTGTCTTACTATTTCGCTTTTCAGTGCAGGTCCTATTTACTAGCTATCGCTTTTGCTTTGCATCTTTCTTCTAGATTTCATGATATTTCTATTTTTATTATGATTGTTGTGGTGATACTAATATTGTCTCCCTTTACTTTGCATATTTCTTCTGGATTTCATGGTGTTCCTATTTTTCCTATGATTGTTGTTGTAATACTAATATTATCTCCTTTTTGTCCTTTTATCTTTTTATTTTTTTTAGTTGAGGGTCTTTCGGAAATAACCTCTCTACTCCTTCAGGGTAGGGGTAAGGTCTGCGTACACACTACCCTCCCCAGACCCCATTAGTGGGATTTTACTGGGTTGTTGTTGTATATATACTTTTAAGATTTTATATAGAATTTTCTTTAGAAAATGTTCAGAAATATTTGGGATGCTCTCATGTGATGCAATATTTAATAGAACTATGAAGTGTATCAATTTTTATTTATGTTAAATAATGGGTTGTATCATCACTTTCTTATCAAGTGTTATTGAAATGCGTCAATATCTTTGTTATTTCATATTCATATGTCAAGAACTATTAAATTCTTATACCTTTTTTTGAATTTGAAATGGTAGTTCGATAATTTTAAAATTAAATAGAACATATCATTATTTAGGTTTTATATTGATATTATATTTAATTATTAAATTTGGTTAACCTTGAAAGCGTATATCAACAAAAAATCATCGTTAGACGACTAAGAAAATAACTATCATGTGTTACTAAAAAAATTCTCTCATAAGAATATTTTAATAGATCATATGTTTGTCAGTTTTTTCAGTTTTTACTAAGCATATATTTACTTATCAAAACTTTATCTATAACTTTAACGAAGTAAGATTGAAATAATATTCATGTAACAAAAAAACTCCGAAAAACCCGAAAAACTAACAAAATCGAATCAATCCAAACCGATATAGTTAGTTTGGTTTGATCTTGATAAAAACCGAACTAACCCGGTCCATGTACACCCCTAATTTCAACATAGTATATCACATAATGTAATCAGGAGTTCTATCTCTTAATTCCTAAATGCTTTTTGTTTCTTCTATGAAAGCAACAAGAAAAATGTTCTGATAGAAATTCATTGGGAAATGTATATTTCAGTCGTTTTCGAAAATAATAGTCGATGAAACGTATAATTTTTGTATATATATGTATTATATACATATATGTTATATATTTTTTGGCCAGCGAATGCAATTAGTTTCGGCTGATCGGTCAATTTTATATTTTGCCCAAATTCTTTGGAAAAATGACACTATATAGCCACTGTAAAAATAATAGCCGAAAAAATATATAAAATTTGTATATTTTTTGTATATATATATATATATTTATGTTATATACAAAAATTATACAAGTTTTATATATTTTTTCGGCTATCAGTAAATAGTTTTTGGCGCCGTCTAAAAGTAATAATACCCTAAATTCTTTCCAAGAGAACTGGGCTATACTGAGTAGGAAGCCCATTAACTACTCAGTCCAAAACTCTGTCAATTGGACTTCTCAAAAGCCCATTACTGACTTTATCAATAGTTCGTATACCCCTCGACCCCCCGCTTCTTTTCTCCTCCTCTTCTCTATACCTCGTCAATTTTCCATTATTGCTCTGCATCGATTTCTCTGCTCAACAACGCAAAAAAAGGTAAAAGTTATTCAATTTAGCAGTATGTTAATTGATTGTCTCAGCTTAAAAGCATTAAAATCTTCTCGATTTTACTTTCAATCGCAATCTAGGGTTTCTGAATATTTGTTGTAGAGTTAGGTCTATAATTTAGCTGCTTCCTAGTGTTCTCTAACTTATAAATTTTAAGCTTTGTTTGACGGTAGTAATTGTACAATTTTGGGAGAACTTTCGTTCCTTTCGTTTAATTTGCAAAAAGGTATCATTTTCCCCCTTTTTAAACTTATTTCTTGAATTTAAGTATGTTTTGAACGTGTATTTTAAGCTTCAGTAAAGGAATTTATGAGTTTAAGTTTTTTGCACTCACGGTGTAAAATATATTTACCCAATCAGGTTAGTTAAAAGGTAATTGCAGGTAATTCTGTTAACAAGTATTGATTGATAAAGTAAGCATAAATGGTAAGTAGCTTGTTATAACTTGTTAATTTATATTGATGGTGTAAAAGTTTCTTTACACTGTTAGTGTATAACTTGAACCCCTTTTGAGTTTAAGTTTTTTGCATTGACAGTAAAAAATATTTTTTCAATCATGTCAGTTAAAAGGTAATTGTAGGTAATTCTATTAATAAGCATTGGTTGATAAACTAGCATAAAATGGTAAGTAACTTGTCATAACATGTTAAATTAGACTGATGGTGCAATTTTTTTTTTATGCACTGTTAGTGTATATAACTGAAATCCCCTTTTTATTTGTTTTCCTCGACCTAGTGGTGTTTTTGTTGGTAATTTCTTTTGTATAGTTTCTATGAGCTGGAGGGTGTATTTTGGTCTTGTGAATTAGGCGGAAGAAGTGGAGTTTGAAAGATTAGTTTTTTTTTTAAAAAAAAATCTGTGAAGTTTGCAGTAAAGAAGAAATCTGTTTTCCTGTTTTACTTTGAATTCAAGTATATGATTTGAATCCTTAATTTGAGTCTTATTGATGTGGAAAACTACCTGAAAAGTTTGGTGGTGGATTTGTTTGGTTCAGTTCAATGTTTTGATGCTTACTTTTTGTTTGGTTTTCTCNGTGATTTTCGTAGCCTTCTCATGCCCCTCAATGGCATCAGAGATGGTTTGAAGAACGGTCTTTTTGACGCTTACGAAAAGAAATGTTTTAATATAGAAAAATTGAACTAGGAAGAAAACTGTTGACAACAGTAAAAAGATGGGTGCTTAATTCCAATACAATAGGAGTCTACTAGTGCGAGTTAGTTGAATGTCGTATTTGAGTGGATGGGTGGATTAGGTGCAAATCTCACCCAATGGGAAGTTATAAGGCTAGTTTCCCTTGGGACCTTATAAAAAAAAATAAGGCTAGTCTCCCTCGGGATGAAGAAGTAGTGGATCCCAAACAGCAATAAAGTAATAATTTATTGATGTGGTGAGAAGCACTGGTATACTTGCATTAAGTCTGATGTTTGTCAAGAGTGTTTTTTTTTACTTGTGTGTTGTATATTTGCAAGTGTCTGTTTTAGAGGCCTTTTAGCTTTGAGAACTCACAATTTGCCTTGATAGATGAATTTTTTCTTATAAAGGAAACAAGCTTATAAATATTTAGCACAAAGGCTGTGCTAGTAGCCGTATTTACAATTCAAAAAAAAACAACAACAGAGAATTGTATCCTTGTTCTTCTTACAAGGACTCCATAATATCTATCAAAGAATCTGCATCATCTAAAAATTCTTCCTTACACCAACAGTGAAACAGCAGTAAACAACTCATCTTTATCTTCTGAATAAGGCTGCTTGTTCCTTCAAAACACCTCAAGTTTCTTTCCCTCCGTGTAGTCCACCAAATGCAAGCTGGGATAATCGTCCACCATTTTTTCTGTCCACTCAATTCTTCAGAGAAACTCCAGCAAGTAAGCAGATTTGCAGTAGTCTTAGATATGGTCCATTTATCACCTTTCATGTTCTTGGAAAAGCTGCCAGAGTATTTACTATTGAGATGAAATGGACCTCAATAGAGCTGAATGAATAAAGAGGATTCATATGGTCACAATTAAGTTGGATCGACACTTAGTTGATTGATTGTGTGAATGTGCCAAGCAGTAATGATCATTTAGTTTTTCAAACATGGGATGGTTGTATTAGCTGAAATGTGATTATATTAGTGTACATTTTTGCAAGTTTTAGTTCACTATGTTATGTAACTTATTCATTATTTTCTGTGACAGGTAACCTAGTATCTGAACCTTAATCTTTCCAATATCATTTTTTATTGTTGGCCAAGCAAAGGGAGGAAAAGATAACACTTTGGTGCCTACATCACTAAGGGCATGGCTGAGATTAAGACTTCTGGGAGACCGATCGACCAATTGCTGGAGAAGGTTCTGTGCATGAACATTCTCTCTTCTGATTATTTCAGAGACCTATTGCGCCTGAAAACTTATCACGAAGTGATTGATGAAATTTATAATCAAGTTGACCATGTGGAACCATGGATGACTGGCAACTGTCGTGGTCCTTCAACAGCCTTCTGCCTTCTCTACAAGTTCTTTACGATGAAACTTACTGTCAAGCAAATGCATGGCCTGTTAAAGCATCCAGATTCTCCTTACATTAGAGCTGTAAGTGGTGTTCTGTATCTTACACTTTATCTATTAGATTTGTTGCTTTCTTAGCTGTGAATTGTTTCTTTTTCACAATGTACTGTCTGTGATTACCTAAAGATTTTTGTATAGATATCTAGGAGATGTTTCCTTTTGTTTTCAGCTGATGATCATGCTTGTTTACTACTAGTAGATTAGTAGTGTGCGTACCTTTTTCCCTTAAAAACCTTCTTTCCTTTTTAAGTTTTGATTGGAAAAGAATTTAAAACCATTAAAGGAAGTTGAGAGTTTTCGATGCTGTCGGTTGGCTTGGAAGTCGGTCTAATTCGCTCTGCTATTGTGTCAAAAGGAGGTTCCATAGTAGAGTCAAAAATGATGAATGGATTTGGATAAGATGAGAACCCTAATCCGCAGCTTTAACTGCCTCTAATAGTATTTTCTATTAAAAGGTTTCTATTTGGAAGTGAAGGAGTGGAAGTCATCCGTGGAGTGTTTCATGTGTTTCCAAAAGCAGAAGGGAAAAGGAACATTATTTCTACTCTTCCAATAATTGTTAATAGACAATCAGTAGTTAGATTATGTGTTATAAGAAAGTTTCTAGGCAGACTTGATCCACTTCACCCCTGAAGAGGCAGTCTTTAGTGACGAATGAGGCGTACCGAGTTTTTTTCTTTAGCAGCCAGGTTATGTCGTGCTTTTCCCTCTCTATATTTTTCTCTGCATAATGCTGCCTGCATAAAGCTAACAAAATTACTTTTTGTAGTTGCTGATGCTTAAAATTTAAGCAAACTGGAACCAAATCCTCCACTTGCTTGCCATCACCTTCACTGCTTCACCAAGTAATGAATCAAAATGAGGCTTTCGGAATTCCATCTAATGCCACAGTAGTTCCTTTCATTACCTATTGAAAGTAGCACATGTATGAATAGAGAATTCAGTTGCATCCCCAATTAAACCTTGTCTCTGATTCTCCAAATTCATGTGCTTTTGTTTTCTGACATTGTTGTACTTACATTCTTGAGCCTCTTGCCAATGGATTTAATGCTTGTAATTTTTTTTGGCAGGTTGGGTTCCTTTATCTGAGATATCTTGCTGATTTTAAGACATTATGGGCTTGGTATGAGCCTTATCTCAAAGATGATGAGGTAAAAATGAAGTGCTCTACCTGAAGTAGATTATTCTATTGTGTTATTTTGGATTGAAATGCTGCATTTGAGCATTCTATTAAGATTCTGACATTTTGCATACAAACAAGAAGTCTATCAATCCTGATCATTTCCATGTTATAGATCTGTCTGCAACTTTGACTATTTTCATCAATTTCATGGAATATAGTGTTTGAAGGAGAAATGCAATCATTTGTTACTGTTCTCTTGTTTCGTCAATCCGCTCAAAATATTGCCTCTATAGTTAATTTCCTGCCCCTCCTCTCGATAATGCTTTTCCTCTCTGCTTTCATTCATTTTAAACTAGCTGATCGATATGTTTTCAATCAGCATTTTTTTTTATCTGAATGGTCTCCTTCGAATCACCAGTTAACTATTTCTATTACAAGAGCTCACTTTCCAATAGTTTTAGTGTAGAACTGTCTATCTTTCTCTCTCTTTTAGTATGCCTAAAACCATGTTCTCAGCTCTGCTTCTGAGATATTGATCTTGATTGTGTGTCGTAAGTATTACATGATCTGTGCATACTTTATGCTATGATTCTCACTCCTTATGCCTTAGGATGCAAGGACCACTCTTGCTTGAAGGTGCGTGGACATGATTTTTTTTTGCAGGTGAACTGATTTTAATATTTATATGGTGGTACACTTCTGAGATTTTACCTACTTTTTTACATTCCATCTCCTGTTCCTTTTTTTCTTCTTCTGCAAACTGGGGTTTTGAAGCAGTGAGATTCTTTTCAGTAGTTTAAGCAGCATCTCAGAAAACAGGACCATTATGTCTTTAGTTTGTTCACCTATGATGTTTATCTTCATGATGGGAGTTGATTTTTAGGGCTCATTCTGATTATTAACTATTTATTTCAGGAATTCTCTCCTGGATCCAGTGGCCGAATGACCACAATGGGCGTATATGTGCGTGACTTATTTCTCGGACAGGTAAGGTGCCACCTCTAAACCCGACCTTTCGTGGAGAATGTTTTAGCACAGTGGTGCAATAGATATATACTCATGATGTTTCTAATGGATGCTCTTCTCTTGCATTTCTATTTTGCTCTGATTTTGTTTGCTAAGTTTGCAAAGTAGAACATCCTGGTCGTTGCTTAGTCAATAGTGAAGCTGTTGATATAAAGGATCTTGACACAGGATAATTCTTTGAACTCTGCTCCGGAATATGTGATCTTTTAACAGCTGAATGAAAAGACAACTCTGTGATAGTTTTGCCCTTAACTGTTTCCATGGCTGCAATTATGTGCTTAGACTTGATAAAAAGACATTTCTGTTAAAAAAACATCTGAGTCGTACTTTCGTGTTATTGTTTCTTTGGCCTTGGATTGCTGCAGTCTACATCTTCCAATTTTGATGTTTATTGAATCTCGAGGGGTGTAACTCAGATGTTCGAACTGACCCTTCATCGGAAGATCTCTCATTTGTCACAGCATGTATGGGCGCTTCACTAATGTTTAGATGAGTTCTGGAGCTTCACATTTATGCCATCACTTATTAGGACATGACTTGCTAGTAAGTGAGCCTCAACTGGGAGGGAGGAGGCAAGAAGTATGCTTTGGTGGATCAGGGTTTTCAATTCCTATTCATGTGCAATTACCTGACACTTGGATAATGCTATTAGTGTATGTCAAACCTGTTCCCATGATTCACTTGCACATTCTTTTTCATTGCAGTATTATTTTGACACACTATTACCCCGGATTCCTGTTCCTGTTATGCGGACAGCAGTTGCCAATCTCGAAAAAATGAATCTGCCGACCAAACTCTCTGGTTCGATCGGGGACTCTAGTCGTGGATCTGAGGAAACCTCCCGTCGGCCACCTTCTGTCAAAGCTTCCCTCTCAGTGTCTTTTGGTCAGCGTGCACCTCATCGTGCATCAACTAGAGATTCATCTCCCATCCGACGTACAATCGCACCACCACCCTATGATAAGGATGGTGCAGATGATTCAAGACGGTCCCCCAGCATCCGCCGGAGTCAAAGTCGTGATATATCTGACCGAGAGAATTCCGAAAGGGACAGGGGCCGAGACAGAGAGAGGGAGAAGGAAAAGCCTTGGGACAGAGACCGTGATAGGGATAGGGATCGATATAGGGACCGGGACCAGGAAAGAGAAAGGGAGAGGGGCAGGGATCGGGATAGAGATAAGAGGTATGATTATGAGAGAGATCGTGAAAGGGATAGAGACAGGAGGTATGATTATGACAGAGATCGGGGAAGGGATAGAGACAGGAGGTATGATTATGATCGAAGTTCAAGAGAGAGAAGCAGAAGAGACTATGAGAGGAGCAGGAGCCGGAGTAGGAGTCGAAGCCACAGCCGAAGTTTGCATGATCAAGGGACCAGTCTTGATCAACAGCGAACTCCACCTAGAGATGAAAGCAAGGAGAAGAAGGCTGCATCTAGCAATCTTGCCAAGCTTAAAGATCTATATGGTGACTTAGGCAATCAAAAGGAGAACGTAGGCGGCGAGAGAGCTCCAAATAGGGATACAAGTACGGAGGAGGTTATCAGACTTGGTGGTTCATGGAGGTAGTTGGTCGCATTTACATAGACTCTTTTTCCCATCGTGAAAAGAGAGTACTCTCTCTCTCTATTACCTGCACAAAAGAGCACGTTGTCGGCTAGACTTTTGTCAAAGGGGAATATGCAACTAGTAGCTACAGCGAGGACATGTTGTATCATGATTGTGCAGTTGAGTAAAGCTGCGTGTAAGCTAGATTTCCTTTACTATTTAAACGTAAGTTACATTAATGGATGGATTTCAAATGTCCCTTTGTCGTTCAAACATTATTACTATGTTAGACAGATGGAGCTAACTCAACTAATTAACACGATCGGAAAACTTATTCTGACTGATGATCGCAGGATATGCTATGTTCTATGCTTTGCTTATTCCACTTTCTGACTTGCAATAGATTGAAGACAAGTTGCTGATGGGGTTGAGTGCAATTATAGTCTCGGTTTTCCTTCATTTCTTTTAGTTTTGTTCGTTCTGGTTCATTTTTCTTCATTTTTTGGCAAATATGAACAGTTCACTTCCATTTGGGATTGATTACTGAGTTTCCACTATTCATTAGCCGCTCTTCCCAAAACATCTTCTAAACCCACGCACAGACAAGGAAAAGGAGGAGAATATGTAACCAACTCCTTTCGAGTAACCTCATTTTCTATTTAACAGTACCCTTTATCAACTCAATGGCTGGGTGGGTGGAAATCTATATTCTTAAAAGTGTTAAAAGTTTAGAATTTTTGCGAAAGCTCTTCGTCCTTTCGTATATAAAGATATGGGTTTCCGGGTTTAGATCGAAATTACATCCCCGAAAACCTGGGCTGGAGTATTAGACTTGTTCTGCTTCGATAGAGGCACTGTAACCGTAAGTGGAATAACAATCATTCGGCCGCCGAATGATTGTTATTCCACTTACGGTTACAGTGCCTCTATCGAAGCAGAACAAGTCTAATACTCCAGCCCAGGTTTTCGGGGATGTAATTTCGATCTAAACCCGGAAACCCATATCTTTATATACGAAATTACTTCGTCCTTTTTTTTTTAGCCCCGGAACAAGGTTGACTGAGACTGCCAACTGCAAGAGAAGAGAGAAAGCAAGCCGGAAACTTCTAACTTCATTACCGGACATTTGTACTCCACTATATTACAATGATAATATTGCGATATTTTTTTTAATTTGGCATTTCTTACCCGGTTTCCGATACTTGTATTGACAAATCTGGATTCACGTCATGTAAGGCCCACCAAGGGGAAGACGTTTCTTACCAGAATTTCTCTATTGCAAAGCTCGAACCCGAGACCTCTGGTTATGGGATAGTATTACTTGTTACGTACTGTTTCATTTTTTCGGTACACCATAGAAACCAGATTAACATACAAAACTAAATACATATGTTAAGAGACCTTTAAGGAGCGAAGGCAAGATCAAGCCAAGAAACATCATACGCTTGTATTTTGAAATTGGGGCGGTTTGGGGGAAGAAAAGGGAGAGAGCTCACTACTAAGCCAAAGGAACAGAACTAACTTTTAGTCCAAGCTTAAATTAAGTTTCAATATATTTTGAAGATTATGGAATCATTATATTTTGTAAGTTTCATTATGGGTTCAAAACACAGAGAGATATGAAGTTTTTCCCATTATATGACCTCTGTAGTCCGTACTTGTTAAATGGGTTTAAATTACTTACAGCACATTGATTTATCACATCATTTCCATTAAGAAGTTTACCAAGTTAAATCATGAATTTACTACCGTGTTGAACTTTGAAAGAACATGTTATATGTAAGCTTCTGTCATTCCAATTGAAAGATATAGAAAGCCATGTGTGAGAGATATGCGTAATGAGTTCTTACTTAAGTTATAAGAATCTTGTATATAAAGTTACAAAAGAATAGCTTTTAGAAGCAAGAATATAAGTTGAGATGATTGAACAAATTTTGAGATATGCTCCTTGGCAGTTGGCATAGTGCAGCCTTATCAGAGATCTTTAATTGACAGGTATGGTGTCAGAACGTCGTTATGATACTGGTGATGGGCAATATCAGTCAGTCACAGATCTTCAGTTGGGTGCAATCTCTAGCTGATAAGGGTGGTGTCAGACCGCTGCGACCGCACCCTTGTTAATATGAACTCGAGTTGATAGTGGTGGTGCTCGACTATTGTGATCGAACTAGTGATTCACACTGTGTGGTTGCATACCCTAACTGGCAACGATGGTAACAGACCGCTATGCATACTCACAATGCGAACACAAAACTAAAAATTGAAGTAAAAGAATAATATATAAGATAATACGCCATAGGAGTGAAGGGGAACCTTGGTGTAACTAGTAAAGTTGCTGCCATCAGAGGCGAAGCTACGTGCAACCAAGGGTGGTTAACTGACCATCCTTCGCAGGAAAATTATATTCCGTATAAGGTAAAATATTACTTGTTATTGATTAAAAATAGGCTTTGAACACCCTTACATAACCCACTGGCAAAGGTTTGAACATCCTTGTTGAATTTCCTGGCTTCGCCACTGGCTGCCATGTAATCAGGCGGTCACGAGTTTGAGCTGTGAAAACAACCTCTTGCAAAAATGCAGGGTAAGACTGCATAGAATAAACCTTAATGGTCCGACCTTTTCACAGACCCCTCGCATAGCGAGAAGTTTAGTGCAAGCTTCTATAGAAGGGATCATAAGCATACTATAGAAGTAAGTTATTATAATGATATGAGTTCAGAACAACATATAATAAAATAAGGGAAAATGTTCAAGTATCAAAAACCGAAAAAGCAAAAAACAAAAGTTTAAGATACCATATTTGAGTAGTCTTTTCTTTTCCCATATATTGTTAACTCTTTAGCTAAATACTGAAGTTGGAATCAAGAGTCAAGCAAATTGGACATTGCTCAACGAGTGAATGGCTCATTTCATACATTCTTTTGAAGCTTGGGACCAGTACAATTATAGCTCAAAGTTTGCCCAATGCAGTAAAAGGAATACTAGACAGACTAGGATAATGTGTTGGAAGGATTAGAATATGGAATGAGGAAACTCTAAATCTACTAATCGATATAAACTGTTGAGCTGTAAATGAAAAATGGCAAAAAGTTCTTAAAATTTCCGGCGTAAGATAATTCATGCTTCATCTCAAGACATCCTACCATCCTACATGGTCTTCTTGAATACCAGATCTGTAAAGGATTCTGTAAAACAGAAGACCATCCCACCAGCATCCTACTCGCACTTGATTGACCGGTATATGTGACGGACAAAAAATAGGGCTGCGCGGAAACCCACAGTCCCGAGCATGAGAAAGAAACCATAGCAGATGCAAGCCATGTATCCAAAGAAGAATGAGGTTTGCATGAAGCCGGACATATCAGAACGGGCATAATAGTAATACAAGCAGTAGCCGTAGATGAAGAGTCCAGTTGATCCACCACAAAGGAAAGCCCTGTTCAGAGCAACATATACAATTAGTACTTCAAATGTTCATCTGAATGTATCATGCTGTTAAAGAACATCAAAGTAACATATTGCAAAAAGATTCTCAATGCTATTTCTTTGCTTACAAAGACGACGAACCAAATTGGTAGATGCATAAATTATTCCAAAAGAAAGATCACTGAATAGCAATACCAGTAAATGAACAAACATACCTCCACCACCATTCATGATCTTCAGCAGCGAGTTGAAAGTATGTCAACGCCACAGTTATGAAAGCAGTGACAATTATAAGAATAATGAAGACTATAAATAAAATGCTGTATATTGTGTAGATCCTGTGACCCCAAACACTTGCAAATATATAGTAAAGTTCGATATATATGGCGCTGAAAGGCAAAAATCCAGCCATTGCCATCTGAGGTAGGGTTCCGCGGTACCAAGGTAATGGTGGGATCTCTCTTGGGTATTTCGTGGTTCGACAAGGAGCTTGGAATTCAGCCTTGCTGTTCTTTCCAGCTATCCCTCCCAGTACAAGCAAAGGTGACGTTACAAGAGCCCATATTAGAAAGATGACCACAATAGTTCCAAAAGGCAGTGCAGCAGTGGCACTGTATGCAATTGCTACGCTGTTAAGGAAACAGAATGTAAGAAACAGAGGTCCACAAAACAAGCCTCCAGTCAATAACAAATTCCTGACCTGCAGGGATGAAAAGAAATCTAATGATTAAGTTTGCCGTACTCACTTTCATTTTCAGCTTTGTTTCATTGGATAGGCAACAAAGAACTAAACAAACACAGAGCCACGGTTATTTCATGGCATACACAAACCCAGAAAAGAATGATATGGAACTTTCCAGCCACAGGATCTGGTATGAATACTTCTCTAATAACATGTAATATCTCTCGGACGTGACCAAGTGTAACTCCTTGTAAAAGATGAAGTGAAAAACAAACACCGAGACATGGTTATTTGATGGCATACACAAACCAAAAAATAATGGAACTTGCCAGCCACTGGCTCTGATATGAATACTTCTCTAATAACATGTAATATCCCTTAGCCGTGACCAAGTGTAACCCATACAAGATGAAGTGAATTACATGATAGAATGAAGATACACTGCTTCTCTAAATAACAACACAGCTTCCTTAATGTTCTGTCCAGAAGGAATAAGTAAAACATCACACGCCTAAATCAAGGATACAAAACTCTATGTTCAACTTGTTTTGCCTGCTTGAACAAGATGCTTTAGTAACCAAGTTCTGTTACTTCCTTTGCTTAGAAAAAGAGCAATGGGATAATAACAGATGAATCCTCTAACCCTTAATATAGAGGGTCAAAGTTATGGCATTAGGGTAGGTGCTTTCAGCAAACAAATGACTTGACTTGCTACATATAAATCTTCAATTTTTCGGTTTTCCTAAGAAAAGGATTGATAAAATAATTCAATGGCATGAAAGTACGATCGAAAAAAACTCAAAGCTTTTACCGTTGTTTTGGGATGAAAATAAGCATATAGTTGGAATTAGGGACTTAAAGTTAGTGCACCAGATAAAATTCTCAAACTATATTCAGATGGAAAAGCAATAGTATAAAAGAGACATGAAAACGAACCCAGTTTGTCCCTTCTAGCTGGCAATAGAAAGAGGAAGCTGTATAGCCTGCAATTCCAGAGGTGAGAGCATATATGACGACCAATGCCGTGAATAAAGCTCCGCGGTTGTATGGATAGAAAACACCAACAAGGGAGAGAAGGAAAATAAAGATTGTCCTAGGAATGGAAAGGGAAAAGTGTTAGAAAGGGCCGCTTGAGACAACAAATTACCTAAATGCCTAGTCGAAAGCTGCCAGATTGAGCTAGTTGACCAATAAAACAATTCATAAAATATTTTTTTTATGTAAATACAGAGAAAATACACATTCAAAGAACCTTTTAAATATCCTATT